AAAATTCAGCAAAGAATTGTAGAAACAGTAACAAACAGAAAAAGATATATAGAAGTAATTATACTTAGTAATTTTAATTATACAAATAATTTTAATTATACAGTAGATAATGTATAAGATAGACAATATTCGCAAATAGCAAATTACAAAAAGCTACTAATATTTAGCTGGTTCAGAAGACAAAACTTTATAGACTCATACAGAAATCTGCATCTAACAAAAGAAGCATACATATGGTCAAGTTAGGAGGCTGCAACAAAAATAAATTATATTTGGCTATTAGAAACACTTGCATCAGGTCTACAAAAACTTAATATTGAAAAAGCAGAAGATTTAATAGACAGTAATTATAAGATAATATCAACAAAAATATAGGTAGAACACATAATTGCAAACTGTAGCAGGGCAGAAATTAAATGTAAAGAACAAACAAAAACAATATATCTATATAAAAAAGCAAAGCAAAAAGATTAGGAAGTTTATGCAAGAGAATTACAAAATTAACTAGAATGGAAAAGAATATTAAAACAATTAGAAAATAATAATATAGAAACAGAATATAGTACAGAAACATTAGACCAAATGTGGAATGCAATAAAAGAAGCTATAATTAAAACAGCAAACAAGCAAATCCTAAAGAAAAAGATATTTAATACTAAGTTAAATAGAAGACTAAACTAGAAAAAAACAAAGAAACACAAGTATATTACTAAACTCTAGCAAATAATCAAGAAAGCAAGAAGTAAGAAGAATCAAGAAGTGGAAAAGAATAAAGAAGCTGAAATAAACAACAAACTCCAAATTATAAAGAAAGAGCTAGGAGCAACACTACCAAAATTACACAGATAGTAGTCAGAAGTCTGGATAGATGATATGAAAGGTTGGCAAAGAATAATTAAAGAGAAAAGAAGAGAAGAATAAGAATGAGCACAAAGAAAACAAATAGAAGAAAATATAAACAGAAGATATAAAATAATTAAAACAGATCAAGGTTGAATGATTGTCAGCTTATTAAATAAACTATACAAAAAGATAGTTTTAAACAGATTTAGAGTACAAGACAAAAAAGAAGTTAACCTAATATCAGAACCAAATGCAGTTCTAAATAGTTTGGCAGTTTATTTTAAAAACCAATTTAGAAAATAGAAAATCAAACTTGAAGAAATAATAGAAAAATAAAAAAGAATATATAACCTAAAAGATTGATCAATAAGACCTAGTACAAGGAATTAAAAGAAAGAATACAAAAGATTTGACTCAGTTCTGCTAAAAAGCCTAGAATGGGCCTTTAAAAGAGTCAAAATCCTACAAAAAATAAGAAAATATATAAGCAATTTGTTTTGTAAATAGTAACTTAAAGTTATCACAGCTTATAGTTTAATAAAAGAAATAATGACAGAAGACAGAATAGACCAAAAAGAGGTAATCTTACTACTAATTTGGCATTTTTTTCTATAATCTATTACTAGAAAGAATACAAGAAAATAAAACATTAGACTATATAGTAGAACAAAGAATTATAGAAAAAGCATGCAATGATAATGCTACAAATTATAGGCAAGTAGCAATTGCATATACTGATGATACAACATAGATTTTAAATAGCAAAGAACAAATATTAAGAATTCTAAGTATTGCAAAAGAGTTCTTTAAAGCAAATGACATTGAAATAAATGAATTCAAATTAAAGCTCACAGTACTAAACACTAGAATAAGAGAAGAAGAAAGAGAATTTACTTTTAGCCATAGTAAAATAAGAGAAGAACCTAAAAACAAAATTGTAAGATCATTAGAGATATGGCTAAACAGCAGAATAAGAGAAGCACTGGTTTGTAAGAAAGCAAAAGGAATAGTTAGTCAAACAATTAAGAATCTGAGATACAAAAAGATGATGATAAGCCAAATTATATATATAAACAACACAGTAATAATTTCTAAGCTAGGATATCTTTACAGCTAACAAAAATATCAGAAAAGATGATTGATAAAATATACTAATTATTAATATGCTTAACTAAATATAAGTGCAATATAATAAGAACATCAAACAACTACACAATTGAGTACAAAGACTTAGATAATTACAAAACACTAAGCCAAGAGATAATAACCAAGCAAATAAGTAGTTTCTTCTAAAGAATTAATAGACAGAATAGTTTGGATGAATTAACAAAACTTAGAATAGCTTAAAAATACCAAAAAGCAGGCTTAACAGAAGACATTTGAGAAAATAAAAAAAAAGTAGAAGTTAAAAAGTTTTGGAAGAACAACCTAGTCTGTTGAACAATAGCTAAAGCAAAAGAAATAGGTATAAACATTGAAGCAAAAAAACCTTTATAGAAAGTTTATGGATACAGTAAACAAATAAGAGACATGCTGAAAACAAAAACATGAATAGCAAGCAGTAGTACAATAAATGAATAAAGGTTATTATACTTGAACCAACTTATAGATATGAAAAGTAATAACCTGATTACCTGAAGACAGCTCAAGAGTCTTCAAGATCTATTATACAAAAGAAAAAAAGCTAAATGGTTTAGCAAAATAGAAGAAAAGATGTTAAGAACACAAGTAAGCAGAGAAATACAAGATTAATACAAAATAAAAAAATACAATACACAAAAATTAAAGATTAAATGAACAAAGATGTCTAAAGATTGAAAGAAAAAAGAATGAATTATTTATAAACTGAAACACAACCAGCAATTAAACAAAGTAATTAAGAAGAAAAAAAACAAAGTGTTAACAAAGTATTGGTCAATGCATATAGAAGAAGAAAGGACATTGACAGAATTAAGTATATGCAAAAATTGTGAAAGCAACTCAGAACAGATGATAGATAAGTGCAAAAAATGAATAAGATGAGGCAACAATGTAAGAGTGATATCAGAATTGCTAATAGAGAAAGCTAATAATAAAATAAATGCAATGTTAAAGCAGTTACTAGAAGATTGAATAATAGAAGAATGGAAAAAAGATGAAATAAAGTTACTAGAAATAAGACAAACAGAAGAACTAGAAGTAGAACTAATTAGAAAACAAGAATTAAATAGCATAATTACAAATCAGTTAGTAAAGATATTGACATGAAACAAGAAGAAAAACAAGAGGAAATACAGTTTCTATACTAATAGAGCATTATACAAGAAGAAAGAAGAAAATAATACAGAAAAAATGAGTATTGATCAGATACAAGTAGAAGAGAAAAAAAATTGGCCAAAGAAGAAAACTGCATTGAAACTTGAAGGTTGGCCTTTAGCAACAATAGTATAATTAGCAGCAATATAAACAACAATCCTAATGATACCAGAAGAAAAAAGTGTAGAAATGTTTATAGACAACATTGCAGCATTAAGGAACATTAATAGAGCACTTTAAAATGTAGAAAAAAAATTCTAAACAAGAAAAATGCAATATGAATAATAAACATTGTAGGTCTAATCAAGAGCAAGAACATTAAGATAGAAATAATCAAGGTTAAAAGTTATAGTGAAAATAAGTAGAATGACAGAGCAGACTCTTTTGCAAAAAAAGAAGCAAATTGCTAAGATAAAATATATGTAGATAAAGTTAAATGCAATGGAATAGAGTACTATTTAGAGTGAGAAAACAAGAAAATTAACATACTGGCAAGACTTCTGTATAAAATAATAGCAAATACTGAATAGAAGCCAGTTGGAAAGAAACAAACTCAATATAAATATTAGAACCAAAAAACAGAAAATGCACTACATAATTGGTTAGGTTTTTGAAAAGAAATAAACAGAACAAAAGAAGTTCATTGTATGTCAAAAAAACTCAGCACAAGAAGAGCTATGGCAATCAAGTGCATAATAGATAGTCTACTAATACTTAAAGAGCTAAACAGAAGAAGATCAGAAGTATACATGATAGCAGAATGCCAAGTATGCCAAGTTGAAGAAAAAGTAACTTAGGCATATTTAGCAAGTTGCAGCAAACAAAAGAGTTTGTAAAAGCAGATTCAAAAAAGTTACAACAGCAATGATATAGAATGAACTTAGGAAAGATGAAAAAAACAGAATTCTACTACAAGTTCTATATAAGACATTATCTGAAGAAACAGAAGCTAAAGAAATTACAAACAAAAAAGTGCTAATAAAGAGACTCACAATGCTAAAAGTAGAAAAAAGGCTTGAGCAACTCTTAAGCAAGCAGGCATCACAGAAGTGTCTAGATATATAGTACAGGACAGCATAAGATATCCAATTTAATTAGCTTTATAAAAAATATAATAACTTTTGAATCAGTTGTTAAATAAAAAAAAATTTTTTTCAAATTAATAATTTTTAAATAGAACTACATTTTTGAAAGATGATTTTTTTTATTTTAATTTTTGACAGAGCTATAAGGGTTTAAAAACTACCTATTTCATATGTAAAGTAAAAATTTGGTGCCTTGATCTTCATGTAATTATGCAAGGTAAACCAATAAGAATTCACTATGGTGATTACATGACTATAATAAATTCTGTTAATCAGTCAGCATTTAATCTTCTTTTTTTAATTTTTAATTTTGAAGAATCCAAGATTAAAACTAATTAAGTCCAAAAGATCAAAACTTGCTCATTCTACTCAAATCAAAGTCAACATTATCAGAAACAAGACCAGTATTACCAATGCAAGCACAAACACTAATGCGATGCCAGAAATGCCACTGCAATAATTAACATTATTAACCTTAACCTCAGCTTAAGCAAATATAAAAGTGATAGTTTCAGCCTGGCCAATTCTGATGATGATTATGACTTTCAAAAAGATAATTACTTTTAAAAGGATAATAGAGATAAGGCAAACTTAGTTATTAGTCACCTTCTTGCTATATCTGCAGCAAATGTTTGAAAAAAAAAACTGCCCAGCTACTTATATCAGAAATTCAAAATGTACAAAGCAAAAAAAAAAAAAAAAATTTAAAAAACAGCAGTAGGGTTTTTAAAAATATTAAAATTTTTTTCTTTAACCTGCCTTTCATATAATAATAAGGATGAAAATAACAGTGAGTATATAATTAATAATAAAAAAATTAGTAAAGAAGGATTTAAAACTGTAACTTCTCCAATATGGTTAGAGGTACATGAAATTGGTTTAGTACTATTGTGCATAAGATGTTGGCTAGTTTTGAGAAAAAGCTTGATAAAGAAATTTCTGAAGCAATCAGATTTGTAAACAAGGTAATTCATGTGAAACAACTTTCAGATACTGAAAAGGCTTGTTATACAGCAGTTCAATATATTTTCTATCTGATATTAAATGAGAAAAAAAAAATTAAACCATCAAAAGTAGTTACTGAAGTTATTGATAATGGACCATGGCTTGCTAGATGTATCAGAAAGTAGACAAATATCTGTATAAAAAGTATGTTATTTATTATTTTTTAATATATAGATAACATTAAGAAAAAACTATACTTCAATTATAAGATCTTAGTTTAGTTTTCTCTTGGCATATCCATATTTTACTTTATGATAGCTGAATAACAATTTTTGTGTAATTGCAGAAAAATTAATTTGGAGTTTTCATGAGAAGTTCTCTTTCAAAAGCCTGCTTAATGATAAGCTAATTTTGCTTCAGATTGCTGCATATTTGCATTTCTAAAAGTTTAAAATTAATCTGAAAATAGACCAAAATTATATTGAGCAAGAGGTTTACCAAAGAACATAACTAATCTAATAAGTAACATTTTTACAGTTCTTCAATTAAATGAAAGATTTATACAACATGTTTCTATTTAAACCATATATTGATGAATGCATAAACTTAACTTTGGTACAAATATTATCAAAAAGATGTATATATTGATGAGCATGAGTAACCAGATGTTGTTACATATTATTAAATCTTTCTTCAAAAGGTTGATGAATTTGATAAATTTATGTCAAAGTAGTACAATAAAAGCTGTAAAATTAGAACTTTTCTGTTGTTATTTATGATAAGATGTGTGCTTTGTAAGGTCTGAAAAAAGAGCAACCATTAAGAAAAAAAGTGTTAAATCTTGGTGTCTATGTCAGTGATTAACAGAAAATATTAAACTATTAAAGAATGATGTTGAGAAGGCATATGTAATAATGGTGCTAGATTCATATTATGATGGATTTTGGAATTCCAACAAATTACTTGATCAAGTTAAACAGATAGTAAATATCTTCGAAAGAATGCATCCAGAATGTATAGATAGGATTTAACAAAAAAATAAAATAAAATAAAATAATAAAATAAAAAAAAAATAAAATAAAATAAAAAAAATAAAGAAAAGTAGTGAAAAAAAGAGAGAAAAAAAAGAAAAAAGTATTTTTGTTTTTTTTTAAAAAAAATAAAAGCTTGATTTTAAAATTCAAGTTTTTTTTACTTAATTAAATACTTATTTATATATGTATTTGTCTTTGACAATACTACATCTCATATAGTCTTTGTAAAAAATGCACTTATAGCTTTAAGAATAAATTTTAGTTCAGATGAATTTGTTCCAAAAATGTAAGATACTGTATAGAATGGACAATGACAATTAATGATCATTGAACAAAATAATTATATATATGATAATAAAAAAAATCTTATAGAAATCTGCATAACTAACTAAAAGGAATCAAATGGGTTCTTAAAGAGAAAGAATTGTGGCAAGAAGAATTAATGTTGGAATGTGCTTCATATAGAAAAGATTTAAATTCTAGTATTATTAACTGTTATACACATCACCTGATGGCTAATCACTCTAATTTTCTTGTACAATATAATTAAATTCAGCAAAAAATTGAATCTTATAGGCATAAGATAAATAATTATTGTTTTTTATTTATTTTTATTTAATTTTTTTATCTTTTTGGGTCTTATTTACTTATTTGTTTTTAGGTTATATTTTATTTCAAGTTTCATCTTAAATTTAACTACATTGAAATGTACTAGGAAGTAGCAAAGAAATATATGAGAGATAATTATGAGTATTCATTTCCAAAATATAAGCAAATTATTCTTGAAGCTTTTGATTCTATTTTAGTAAAAAAGGTTTGTTCTTTTGCCAGATTATCATTTAAATGAATGGATGCATATAGAAATAGTTTGATAAATAAGGCTACAGAATATGTGGTTAGGCAATACAGAAAACACTAGTTAATTAATAAAGAAATCATGAATCAAGTTAGGATAATCTAGTTTTTTTTTCTTTTAGAATAGTTTTTTTATTTGTATAATTTTTTAGTTTTGTAATTATGATAGATCAATTTTAACAAAACATTTGCTAAATATTAATAAAATAGTGATAAAAAAAACTTAGCATAAAGTTATATAAAAACCAATTTATTTTTATGTTATGAGTAATTCTATAATTGCATTAGAGATTATTTATAACCATCTGAGAAGGCAAAACAATTGAATAGTTTCACTTAGTATTATAAATTTTGGCATAATATGTTTTTTATAATTCAGATTCAAGAATTTGATAATATAAATGCATTTTTTTTAAAAAGTCTTCAAGTAATTTAAAATACCAAATGTGAAATAAGCATGTTTTTTTTTTAAAATTAAAAAAATTTTATTGGGCATATATATTTTGTTTCTTATATGATTTTTATCTTATAAACTCTACTGGTACAGCTAATGCATTTTTTTCAAATAATATAAAATAATCTACTATTTAGATACTCAATATTATTGCACCATTTTTATAAATTTTGAAAATGATTTTTGAAGTCTAACTAATAAATATGGGTAAAGTGCAAGCAAAGCCATTTAAATTTTATTTCAATTACATTCATATGATTTATTTTTTCTATTAGCTCAGCAATAATTAGCATTGGTACTATACTAATATTAATTATTGCTATACCAATTGAAAAGATAAATAATATGCATACTGTATAAGTTAATTACTTTATAGACTTTTGTGTCTTAACAATTAAGCAATTTGAATTTAATATTTTAAACTTAGGATGCTCTCAAGCACCTAAATCAATAGGTTTGAGTTCAATTTTTAATTAATGAAAAATAAATTATTTAGTTAAGTGAGTTTATTATTATAATGAAAAAAAAATTGGTCAAAGACTATTCTTTTTTATTATAGAGTTGTATTAATTAGCTAAAATTTAATATTCATATTTTGTAACATGTCAAAATTATTATAAAAGCTATTTCAATTGATTATAGTTCTTGTACATGATCTCTATAGTTAGCTAATTATACTGAGAGAGATGCTTAAAAGCACCCTTAGTGTTTATTATCAAAGATCTTTTATTGTCTCTATTTAAATTTGGCAATTCTATATAAATAAAAATTTTTAAACTATTCTTAACTAATTTGGTATTATATGTAGATGTTTTATATTGGCCTTACCAAATTTGGCACAATATTTGAAAGTTTTATGTTGATCTTAGCAAATTTGGCATAGTGGATATTTTATGCTGTTCTATACTATAGTAACAAGAACAGTATAAAACACCTTTTATGACCAAGTATAAAGAATATGATGTGAAAAAATACAAGTCTAGGAGAAGAAAATCAATATAATAAATAAATTGAAAAAAGATGCTTGTATAAGAAAGAAAACAAAGAAAAAGATAAAGAAAGATAAACAAGCAAAAAGAAAAAGAAAAAGAAAAGAAAGCAGAAAAAGCAAACCAAATGAAAAAAGAACTTTGAAGACAATAAGTATGCTTGTTACAAAAGAGAAAAGACCCTTTTAATATAACTTTAAATAGTTAGACAAGCAGTCTATTTTTAACTAAGATAGTGCAACAGGTTGTATTTAGATACCATTAAGATGGCCAAGTGATGCTAGACTTAGATATTAGGAAATTCTATGTAATTGTATAAGTATATAGTTTTAAGAATCTTAATAAAGTGATATACTTGAAGAAACTCTCAAAAAACTTATCCTGGCATTTACTACAATTCTCTTTACAAAACTTAACTATTCTAAAATCTTTGCCTCTTTAGCTACTATCCCCCCATATACTAACCAATATCATATTCAACTTTGTATTAATCTGGCTCACATTCACTTATATCTTTCAAACAACTATCAAGCAATTGATTACATCAAATTTGCTGAAGACTTCCAACTCCGACTCAAAAGATTTAACATTATATTAAAAGTATCTGACTATGACAAAGAAAAACAATATGTTATAATTAAATCTGATAGCAAATTTAATATCTATCTTGATTTTAATATTCCAAAAACACTATTTTACTAAAAACTTAACATTCCATCCCTTGCAAATTCTTTAGACCATTTAAAACAATGGTTTAACCAATTTTTTCCAACATACAACTAACAATTTACCCAAACATTAGATGAAACCAAAGTGTTTAACTTCTTAAAATACCAAATTTGACAAAAATTTATTTCTTATCTTAAAGAAACCTTATCTACTGAAATACAATTCCAACAACCTCACAATTTACAAGAACGTTAAAATGAAACAATAAAATTAGCTAACTTTCATATGCTTACTTGCACAGATGAAACTTGTTCTTACTTAGAAAAAACAGAACTCAAAAAAAAAAGAAAAAGAACCAGAAAATACAAATCTATCTACTACAACTCACAACCTCCAATTTTATTATAATTTCTTACAATTACTAAATGATATTTTTTAAAAAATCATATGTATGCTTTCCAAAACAAGAAAATGAAGTTTGGAAACAACCTGAAATCAACCCATCTATATTTTACAAAAACAGCAAACATGAAGCATCCTTTAACAAACAAATTCCTACATCTCTCCTTGAAGAGCTTGCAACAAAAATGAAAAAATCTGCTTGCAAGTTCAACAATGTTGCAACCAACTCCAAACATCACAGCTACTACTTTTATTTATATCTTAATTTGTATCAAAACATTACAGTACAAAACCATCATATTGACAAACTTAACAAACAACAAGCAGTTGAACTTATTACTTACAAACCTATTAGTACTGAACTATTGGCAAGAGTTTTGACATTCTTTAACTCTCTTGACAAATCTCTAACATACCCACAAATTAATACCTATTACTAAGAAACTGCCTATCCAGAGGCAAACAAAATATTACAAGACAAATTTAAAATATCATACTTAATACCTTCCTTAATTGAAGAATCTCTCTTCCTTAAGAAAACCCTTTTTCAATAAATCTGTTTTCTACAAACCCCATAGATGCAGCTGTCACCTTGCCAAGAGATACATCCTTAGTAGTTGGCAAGGAAAATGATGTAAGTGAACAGGTGGTAAAGCCCATTTACATAAAGAACCAAGCTAATAATAGCCAGACCCAATGTACAAGGCAGGCTATGATATCCTCTACAGCTGTGTGAGCTGAACTTCAAACAGTAAATGACCTTGTAGAAAACAATTCAATCT